TACATATCTTTAATGACTTGAATATAAGTCATATCAACACCTTTCCTCTCAAGAACTCTCCAAAGGATATCTCTTGAAACCTTATCGTAAGCTTTTCTTAATCAATAAAAATCATATGTAGATTATCCTTATTATTTCTGAACTTCTCCATCAAACTTCTCAATAAATGTATAGCTTCCATAGTAAACCTGCTCGACATAAATCGAAATTGATTATGAGAAATCTTTGTAATACATCTTAACCTATGTTCAATTACCCTCTTCCATAAATTTAAAGTATTACACATCAACTTAATTCCTCTATAATCTGCACACTTTTATGCATCCCCTTTATTCTTAAAAATGTGGACCAAAATACTCTTCCTCGACCCCTCAGACATCTTTTTAGTTTTTAAAATAATATTAAAGAGTTTAGTAAGCCAAGAACTCCCAAATCTCCTAAAGATTTCCAATTTCAATTAGGATATCATTAGGTCCTTCAGACTTTTCACCCTTGATTTTCTTTGAAGGCTCTTCAACTTCTTTTTTACTAATGCGACAGTAAAAATGAAACTTTTTATTATTATTAACTATATTAAGATCACTAAGATCGATCGTATTTTCAGAAACTTCATTATATAGTTTATCAAAATAACTCACCCACCAATGTTGAATATTTTTTTCTAAGAAAAACACTTTTTGATTTCTTTTTTAATACCCTTTACTTGAGTTAAATCTTTACTTTTCTTTTCTCTTTGTTTGACTATTTTATACATATATTTTTCACCCTTTTTACTATCAAACATATTATAAAAATTATTAAAAACAGAATTTTTAGTGTCACATATTATTCTTTTAGACTTTCTGCTGGTCGTTTGATGTTTTTCTCAGTTCTCTAAGCTTTTACATTTAAACCAAATTTTATAACATAACTTCTTTTTTTATCTTTTCTTGCACGTTATTATTCTACCACGAACTATTTTTATTTGAAAAAACTTTTTCTTTTGATTCTCGAAGTAAATCTTTTGCTACTTGTTTAATAGTGTTTGTTACTTTATCCCGCATAGCATTTGCTTCATCACGAATATCCCAAATTTTGAAATATTGAATTTTATTCATAAAAAAAATTTTATTTGTCTTTTAGGTTCCCCTATCTAATTCTATGATGATTAGTTCTATAATTCTTTATTTTACAATTTTTAATCTTAAAATCAAGAATTAATAAACGATGTTAGAACTAAAATTTTCAATTAGAATGACCTTACAGTATTTATATTCTCAAAGATCTTTTTTTCTCATAAGAAAATAATTAATTTATGTTTTCTTAGATCCATTTTTATTAGTAATAATATGCGCATCTTTTTTTTTAAATAAAGTATTCGGAAAAACAAACTCATAGGCTAAAGCAAAATCTAATATGGTTCTATCGTATTCATTAATCACTCCAAAATCGTAGCCACTATGAATATTTCTAAAATTTTTTACCACTACTGACATGTCCATTTAAATCTTTTTCAATAAAAATTCTTTTTTCAAGAGGTATCATTTTATTAAGTCTTCTAAGTCATTCTAGAATTTATCTTTAGACCCTATATCTAAACGTATTTGAGGAGCATAAGCACTTATAATATTAAAAATCTTAGTTTCAATGATAATCTTAAGGGCTATAATTCTATCTCCAACTCTATTAATTTTTAAGACATTATCTTTCAAACTCTTTTCTATAATTACACCTACATCATTTCTAGTGCGACTCTTATCAGATTACCAAAGTTTAAAGCCTAAGTCATTCTCCTTAGACTTTTCTCCAATCTGTTTAGTTTTTTGAATACATAAGATATTAATATTTCTATGAATCATAATATCATTTAATTTCATTAATTTGCCATTGAGAGTACATATATTCCAAGATTCTATCATAATATTAATTTTATTAGTTTTATTGACTAACTTATTTACCCACATCTGTTCGTAATGTGGAAACCCTTGCTTATTTGACACTACACCCGGACGCCGGTGTAGCGGCCCTTGCACACTTTTCACTGTATTCAAACTATACAGTGCGTCGCTTCCAGGGGACGCCCTAAAATTTACAAAAAGATCAAAAAGATTCATTTCATGATTTTTTTCAACAAGTTTTATGCTATCTATCGATTACCTAATGCAACTCTCCACTTTTGACATCCGGGCTTGGGACCGGCAACGACAGTGTTGAGCATATATTTTAATTTACATTAGATTTTGAACTAATGTTTAAATTTCCTTTGTTTAAGATTGTACTTTGTTTTTAGGTAGTTTATCATTTTATCAAATCAATTAAATTCAATTTATTTTAGTTACTGCATTGAAAGGTAGTAACACTAAAATCAATAAGGAAATTATTGGCCATTTGGTAATGAGTGTCCAATTGGAAATTTTATATGATTGTGGAGGAGGAAGATAATGCAATTAATGATTCTAATGATGTTCATGAGTTCACTGCGGTAATTGGTTATTTTGAGGATGCTCTTTAATTGATAATTATTATATGTCAGGATACAAGTTCCTTTTAAGGCTAAATCTGATTGAGAGAGAATTACAAATTTTCGAACCTATTTTATGTAAAAGTTATGTAAAGTCATAATCGACAGTGAAAATTGTATTAATCTTCTACCCAAGTTAGCCTTAAAACACATGATCTTTTAAATCTGAGCCATTCTCACAACTATGTAACATAACATCGATAAATACTATTGTTATATTTGCATTGACATCCAAACAGGTTCTCATCTGGAACCTTTAAGAAGCTGAATGCTTGTAAATGTGAATCTTACTGAAGTTAGCCTGGTGATAAGATCATGATGCTATTAAATCCAAGAAGGTTCTCATCTTGAATCCTTATGATGTTGAATGAAAATCAAGATTATTTAAAATTGTGTAACACATTGGAACTAACGACTAAAAACTAAAAATTTCAAGTTCTTACTTAAACCTAGTTTTTCATGTGTCAAATATAACCTTATTTTAAGAATTTACAATGAATTTCATAAGATTTGACTTTCTTTTCACCTCTTCATTGTAAGACTACTTCAATTACTCTGCCATATGCTTGTGTCCGGATGAGACATTTGATTTTGATGATTCGTGGATAACTCTAAATGAGGCTGAGAACTAATGTCCAATTTTTCTTAATAAATTTAAAATTCAAAATTTGTTGAAAAAGCATGGCAGAAATAATAGTAGTCTTTATGTTTTTTTTTTTTCATCTTAAGCATCATATCATGCATGAAGTTTTGTGCATTATGTTTTTTTTTTCTTTTTCATTTGTTAGTTCATTTATTTTTTTCTACATTTTGTAATTTATATTCTGACGGTTATGATGGCTGAGAGAGAATTGTACTTTGTTTTCTAGCTTTAGGCTAGGTCAAATTTTTTCGCATATTTTCAGTTTTAGTTAAATTTTGATTAATTCTACAAAGTATTAGTTATCCGAGTTAGTAATGGTAATTGTTTCTGCAACTTTGGTTTGGCTGTTCCTGGATTAATATTGTAGTTCACAATATTTTTGTGAGTTGCTTTGCTTACTGTTTTTGATAGGAATTTCCTTGAGATTCTGGATTTGAATTATTCGGTACTGCTTGCATTTCAACGGCTTGGCATTGTTTGCTGTTTAACGGATAACTGCAACTTTTTACTTGGTTTCATATCGCACTTCTATTGGTGTTATCGGCTATAACTTTTGTTACATAATAATCTCGTATCAGCTCTCTAGTTTTCAATGGAACTTTTTATTGAAGTTCTAGAAGATTTTTTTAAGGCTTAATCTAAGGATTGAATTTTGGATTTAGTTTGAATATGAATCATGACGATTTTGTGCTAATTGTATCTCTACTGATCGCATGCAACTTGGAGGTAGCTTTTGAATTCAGTAAAACTTTCGATTCTAGTTTCACTCTTGAGGTTATGTTGCATGCTTTATTCCTGTAAGTGCAATGCAAGTGCGCTACTTGATTTCTGGTGAAGTTTTCTTCTTGTACTTACATGAAACCTATGTTTTTCTTGTTTTAGTAAATTTGTATTTTTCTTTATTTTATTTGCATAATTTGATATTGCCTTGTTTAGAGATTTTAATTTTGATCAAGAAGTGCATTAAAAAAAACTGATTTGCTTGCTGATTTTCTTTGTTTCCAATTTATTGCTTTTTTTTTTTTTTGATATTTTTGATTACTTCATTATTTTAATTGGTCTTAAATTGTAGTATCCTCTACTTTTAAGCGAATTGATTTATTGAATTGATAGATTCCTTGTGATATGTGCGACCTCAGTTTTCTTTTTAATGAAAGCGTACCATGAGTCATATTAGTTGTATTTGTATACCTATGCATCGATTATGGATGTAAATATCAGCCAGTTCAATCAACAAAGTTTAAAGACCAAAGTTTGTTCTTTCATATTATATACTGGATTTGTAATTATTTTGAGCTCATCATTTTAAAACAGAGCTTTCTGCTTTGCTATGGTTTTTATATTACTTATGTATCATTACGTTAATTGTCTGTAAGTTTTAGATTCATCAATGGAACCTGTCGGCAGATTGCAACATATTTACTTTGATGTGCCTTTTTTAAGTATGATTTTAACCATTGCGTAACCTTTGCAGCTTTTATTCAAATTATTTCGTGCTGTTGAGGTTGCTTCCAGGGGTTATTCATTTATAATCAGTTTTTCAAAGACTCTAGCCTTGTATGAAGTATGGTTAGAACTTGCTCTTATTTCATTTCTTTTTTAGCTGTTAGCTTCTTTAAATTGTAACATGATTTCATTTTTGTTGCTTATTAATTTGACTCCCACTGAATGTCCATTTTCCATCTTCTTCTAGAATTTGTTACCATTTTGCTTTCGAGAAGTATGGGTGATAAGTGCTTGTTTGGCCCTCATCAAATCAACTTCTTATCATTTTGTTGACTCACATGCATCAGCAGATGGGAAGGAGTTTTTTCGTCTCCAGGGCGACCTTTATTCTCTCTGCAGGGTGAAGGTAAATTCTCTTTTTTATTGTTTTTGAATAATGTTTAAATACTTATTTGATGCTCACAACTGCTTGACTTGACCATCCATGACATCTTTTTTTTTTCGGGAACATTTTACTGAAGCATATTGCTTATTTCCAAATAGGCAGTATGAGCTGAAATAATGTATAATTTAACTCTAATTCATACTATTGTGGGCATTGCTCTACCATTACCCTCTACTTATCGTTTTGTTATTCTCAAGGCTTGACATGGTATAGTAGTGTGGTAAAAGTATTCAATGTAAGGTCTAGAATGTGTGACATCTTACGAGTATAGAATTAGTGATTTGGGACATCTATAGTCTAGATTTTATATTATATATCTATGATGAGATGAATAAAATCTCTTTGAAATACCCAAATTTGAAGTTTGGAAACTTCTAAATTGGATAACTATTTCATTATTTTATTGAAAAAATATGAAAAATCAAATGCTTATAATAATTTAATAATCTTCTTTTAGAAATAGTGCATGAAAATTCAACAGTAAAGAATTAATTACTCTGAAAAACCCACCCATTTCATTAACACTTGGGCTTATATAGATCCTTATAGCATTTACAAATAAATCCCTAGACATCTTCTATTTACAAATTGGACCGTACATTAGGTACAAATCTCAACTCTCTCTCTTAAGATGTGCAAAAGATATCCACTAAGCCAATCTTGTCACACAATCTAGACAAATCTAATGAGCTAAGTCCTTTGGTGAAGCAGTCAACCACTTTCTCTCCAATGGCTACATGACTTAGCTCCAGTAGACCATTATTCAGCTTTTCCTTAATTAAGAACCTATCAATCTCCACATGTTTGGTTCTATTATGTTGCACCTGGTTGTTGACGATGTTGATCGTTGACTTGCTGTCGCACCACAACTTCATTTGAGCTCCTCGATCCACCTTGAGCAATACCAACAAGGCTCTTATCCACATCATCTCAGCAACTCCTAAGTCCATGACTCTATACTCTGCCTCTACTGTTGACCTCGCTATTATTGACTGTTTCTTGCTCTTCCAAGAGATTCAAGAGAACAAGTTGCCCCCTACAATCATGCAACATCCAAATGTGGAATTCCTGTCATCATTACAACCCTCCACAATAGCCCTCACTAATTACATGTCCATTTTTCTTGAAGATCAACCCCTTCTCTGGTGTACTCTTCAGGTATCTCAAAATCTGATATACTGCATCCATGTGACCCTTCCTCAGATCATTCATATAGTAACTCATCACACTTAGTGCAAATGAAATGTCAGGACGAGTGTGACTCAGATAGATGAGACGACCTACCAATCTCTGGTATCTCTCATGATCAATTGACTCTCCTAACTCTGCACTAAACTGTTCATTCTAATCAATTAGTGAAACTGCAGGTTTGCATCCTAGCATGCCTTTCTCTTTGAGCAAGTCTAGCACATACTTCCTTTGAGACAGAACAATCACCTCTGCTCCATGAGTCACCTCAATTAGGAGGAAGTATCTAAGTTGTCCCAGGTCCTTCACCTCTAACTTTTTACCCAAACTTTCTTTTAGCTGAACAATCTTTTTCTCATCATTCTCAGTGAAAATCATATCATCCACATACATAGCAAGAATAATAATGTGACCACCATGTTGTCAAAAGAGTACTGTGCGGTCGACATTGATCTGATGATAACCCATACCTACCATTGCTTTCTTGAACCTGTCAAACCAAGCTTGCGGAGACTGTTTTAAATCATACAATGACTTTCTCAATCTACATACCTTGTCCATCATTCGATTTGTGTTGAAGCCTGAGGGTATCTCCTTATACACCTCCTCTAGCAGATTCACATGAAGAAACACATTCTTCACATCCATTTGATGGAAATTCTATCCACCATTCACAGCTAAAGAGATTAGTGTCATGACTGTGCTCTTCTTTGCCACTGGTGCAAATGCATCATCATAGTCAATGTCATACGTCTGACTATACCCATTTGTTACCAACTGTTCTTTGTAACGATCAATCTTTCTTTTTAAGGTATGCTTCACTATGAAGATCCATTTGCACCTGACTATCTTTTCCCCTGTTGGTAACAACACGAGCTCCCATGTTTTGTTCTTATTGAGAGCACCAAATTCCTCCAGCATTGCAACCTTTCACTTTGGATTCTCCTTAGCTACTTACTAACACTTGAGTATAAAGACAACATCCAAAGATATAATGAATGCTCCATGTAAATGTGATATGAGAGTATTAGACAAACTGGGCAATGCCATATGAGAAACCAAAACGATCAGAACGATGACCCGCATTGTTTCAAGTGGTCCTACTTAAAGTCATGGGAGTGGGAGAAGAGAGAGGAATCATATCACCTGTATAATCGAATTCTGATGTGGATGGTGTAGGTGTCTCAGGAGTCGGGTAGACTGGTAGAAGGAACTTGTTGGCACAAGTGACACGACAAACACTATTCTGTAACTCTGCATTTTTATCCTTGTATACACCTTCAACTTCTCTTGAGCTTGAGTGCCGCCATCTTCAGGCTCATTTTTCTCGTTTTCTAGCTCTTCATTAGTCAATCCTTCCAACACAACGAGATAAGACATCATTCTCACTTGTACCAATCTCTTACCATAACTACTCTCTCGCCTCATACCTCCAACATCTGACAAGTCACCTCCATGGTGTAGTATGGTTCGAATTCTCTAAAAGTCACATTCATACTCACAAACAGTCTCTTCTCTATTGGGATCCAACATTCCCCTTCTGAATGACAGAATAACCCACAAAACTACACTTCACAGCTTTGGGATCTAGTTTCCTTATCGATGGTTTATTTTTCTTCACAAAACATACACAACCAAATATCTTCAATGAGAGAATTCCACCATTCTCTTTTCAACAATTTAAAAAGAGATCTCTATTCCAACACTCTTGAAGGCATTCTGTTGTTCAATTGAGCGACTGTCAAAACAGTTTGCCCCCACAAATATTTTGGAACATTCATCGAGATCACTATGCTTTTGGCTACCTCTAGAAGATTTCTATTTTCCTTTTTGCTACTCTGTTTTTTGTCGGTAACTTGTTGGCACAAGTGACACGACAAACACTATTCTCTAACTCTGCATTTTTATTCTTGTATACACCTTCAGCTTCTGTTGAGCTTGAGTGCCACCACCTTCAGGCTCATTTTTCTCATTTTTTAGTTCTTCGTTAGTCAATCCTTCCCACACAACGAGATAAGACATCATTCTCACTTGTACCAATCTCTTACCATAACTACTCTCTCTCGCCTCATACCTCCAACATCTGACAAGTCACCTCCAAGATGTAGTATGGTTCGAATTCTCTAAAAGTCACATTCATACTCACAAACAGTCTCTTCTCTATTGGGATCCAACATTCCCCTTCTGAATGACAGAATAACCCACAAAACTACACTTCACAGCTTTGGGATCTAGTTTCCTTATCGATGGTTTATTTTTCTTCACAAAACATACACAACCAAATATCTTCAATGAGAGAATTCCACCATTCTTTTTTCAACAATTCAAAAAGAGATCTCTATTCCAACACTCTTGAGGGCATTCTGTTGTTCAATTGAGCGACTGTCAAAACAGTTTGTCCCCACAAATGCTTTGGGACATTCATCGAGATCATCATGCTTTTGGCTACCTCTAGAAGGTTTTTATTTTCCTTTTTGCTACTCCGTTTTTTGTCGGTGTGTAAGGACAAGTGGTTTGATGTTGTATCCTTTAGGCTAACAGGTACTTCCCAAACATCTTGTTTGTATACTTTGTCCCATTATCAGACCTCAATATCTTTATAACTGCACCATATTGAGTCTGAATCACTATATTAAAGTTTTTAAAGCAAGCAAGTACATCATTTTTGTTCTTCATCAAATATAACCAAGTAACACGAGAGTCACAAAATACCTATAACCATTCATTGAAGTTGTAGAACAAGGTCCTTATATATCTGAGTGCACCAAATCATAAACACAAAAACTATTGCCAAAACTAACATAAGAGCTTTTATTATACTTACCAAACTCACAGGTATGACACACAAGTTTCTGCTTGTTTGCATTTTCATACAAAGACGAATACAAACGACTCAATAGACTACATGAAGAATGTCCCAAATGCTTGTGATGTAGTAGGTAATACATTCTCAACACTCCTAGATTCTCTTACTCCAACACTTTCTATCATGAATGTCAAGGATGAGTCCATCCCATTTCTATCCAAATATTAGAGTTCACTATGCCACGTGCTAGTCCCAAGTCTCCAGCTAGTCCTCTTCTCTTGAAATAACACCTTAAGAATATCAAATAAAACAATACATTTTAGGTGGAGTTTAATGAATCTAATGGATAAAAGATTCATTGGAAATGAAGGAGCTTGCAAAACATTGGACATAATCATAAAATTGGTACACCTCACTATACCTTTACCAACCACGAGCTGTGTTGTACCATAAACCGTCTGAATGCTCTATGGAACTGCTAGGCGAGTATATGTAGAGAACTCACTAGCAGCATCTGTCACATGTTGAGATGCACCAAAGTCTACTATCCATTCTGGTGATTGTGTGTTGGATATAGAGGCAAGAGCATGTCTATCACGAGTTTCTTTGACCGAGTGAGTATAAGTAGTAGTATTTCCCTTGAATGATGATAAGGTGGATGGATCTCTAGTCACATCACACGCTGCTCCCTGCTTTCTCTTCAACATCTATAAGAGCTCATGATCCTCATCGATAAAGACCATCCCTGTTTCTTCTTCCTTCTCTGCTGCCATCAAATTTGTTTGATGGCCCCATCTTCCACCTCCTTGGCCCCCACGATTACGACCAGTCTCTAGACTGTCATGTCCACCTGTCTCTATTTCCTTGAGTGGCTTTGGACAAGCCTTGCTCAGGTTTCCCACTTCTCTACCGTTATAGCATCTGCGGGTCTCCCCCTAGGCACCTGTCATACCTGAGCTCGAGGCAA